CAGGTGTGAGCAGAAAGGGGCCTGCGGGTCAGGTTGCTGCAGGCAGCATCTCCAACCAACCGGTAGCCCGGTTGGTTGAAGATGCTGAGGCCCAGGGCACTTATAGTTGAGCCCAAGGCACATTCTGGAAGGGCTCACTGAGGCCGCCCAGGTGCTACTGGGCCAGAGGCCACCCAGTTCATGCCTGCCTCAGCCACCCAGACAGAACAAAAGGAAGAGCGCGGAGGGCTGGCCGGACGGTGACAGCGCTGGTGGAGCATTCGATTGCTGGAGGAGGGCCGAGCCAGAGGATGAAGAAAGGCGCTGGTGAGACGGGTGGAAGAAGCTGTGAGGGCGCAGCAGGCAGAGTGCAGCAGCCATAGCTGGGCTGCTGGTGCCATAGCCGAAGGAGGGGAGTGGTGGTCCTGAGCGACGGGCTGTGCGACGCGGAAGTCGCGGAGAAGGGCTGATGTGACAAACCACTCGCCTCGTGGAAGAGAAGCGGACTGTTCGAGCACTGTCTTTGTGCATTCGTCACGCGGAAGATCTCCATAGCTGACCTATTGCACGTAGATGAGTCCAGGTCCTAGGTGCTGTCTGTTTGTAGTCTGGGTGCCGTGCGCCATTATCGGAGTGCGACATTGTTGAGACTGTTGTGATTTTTGTGATTCGAGGTGAGGAGAGGGCTTCATTATCATGTGAGACTTCAAGGCTTTGCTAATACTTATTTGGTGTTATCTCATATTGCAATCTGCTTTCAGTTCGGGCTCAAACTTAAATATCTGGACGTCTATGGACTGCTGCAATCTGGCTCATTGTCATTCGCATTGCTCAGTTCCTTGCAGCTGGGAAAAGGGCTATAGAGGTTCAAGTGCGGGCTCGCCCCTGATGAGAAGAGGGTGCAGTTCATATGTCAGTGCTCTGGGATTTTTCTTGCCCATCTCACAGAGTTACCTGGACCTGATGGCCTGCCAGTAGTCAGCAGTGTTGCACCCCTTGCCAAGATTTTGAATGCACCGATACTGTCCAGACGCATTCAAAATCTTGGCGGATGGCGACTGGTGCAACTTGGCCCCCCTGAAAATCGACCGCATGCGAGGGCATTATTTTCATCGTGTCTATTCTCCAAAGGCTCTGGTCATCCTTGGAGTCACAGGTACATCATGGAGAGTATGCCCTGGTGAAAATGCATATATGCAGTCCTTCCACTCCCTTTCGGCTTTCGGGTCTCTGACAATGCCCCTGTGCGGTCATTCCTGCTGGTCGATATGCTCTGTGCGATTCCAATCTCAGGCCATACTCGCACTCAGGCTTTCCAGGATGCTTCTGTCTACAAGTTGCCATCATCATCATCATCAGATGTAATCCAGAAAAGAGAAAGAGTCCCCAGTGTGAGTATAGTTCAAACACCACTAGAAGGTTCATTAGACTTTTGACCGAATATCACCAGTCCGGTCGGAGCCAAAGGCGTGCTGCATACTGTTTCAAGGCTCTGACCGGACTGGTGCTATTCGATCGAAAGTCTAATGAACCATCTAGATCAGCATTTTTTTGGTGCGGCCAATCGCTAATGTCACAGGTCCATTGCGGCAAAACTGGTCTGGGCCTAGCTATGGTCAATCGGAGGTCGCCGGTCGGAGCCTACAATGCGTCAACCCCATTGTGGGACCGGTGGTTCGGACTACAGGTTAGTAGCTGCGCGCCTAGCTGCAATGCTGTCGGTGCCAGCCTCAGCGACCGGTGGGCTATACTCTACTGTAGCCGGTCATGGGACCAGCGATGTGCTCTTTGTGCACCGAGTCCGGGACTCAAAATGTTTGTACCCACATGGAGAACGTCAAGCTGAGACGCTGTCGATGCCAACCTCTGCGACTGGTGGGCGAAACTCTACTAGTTAGCCATTGGACTAGTGATGCTGCCGGTCGTGCGTGTGGAGACACTAGTAAACTGAGTCCGACGCTTTAATAGGATTGTCACTACCCATGGAGGACGACATTCGCCCCCGAAAAGACAAGAATGAATGCAATCCTCGAGGGGACCGGATGGCTCTTCTTGCTTGCTGTTGTCAGTGTCACAATTATCGTGCTATGGAACATTCCCATTTCATCAGGCTTTTTTGCAAAAACGGATGTTTGAGGAAGGGGATTCTCTACGAAAAGGGGCTCTTTTAGGACGGAGGCCTCAAACAAGAGGGTTTTTTGCAGAAAAGGCTTCGACGGTCTCTGATATCATCCCCGATGATCCTTTCTTTTGTTTTGTTTTGTTTTGCTTTTTTTTTTTTTTTTTTTTT